ATGCTGCTATCTGCTCTAAATTTCTTCTTAAATACCCATTTGCATTTCATAGGTTTGCGTCCTTGTGGAAGTTCTGTGCGGCGAATGATTTTTATGGCTCCTTTTTCTTTGAGGGAGCGAAATTCCTCATCTGTAGCCTTTTTCCATTGCACGGCCTCCGGACTAGTCATGGCTTCGCTCCAGGTTTTTGGATTGTTGGAGATTTGTGCTGCCTTGCCATAGTGGAGACGTTTGTAGTCATGTTTCTTAACCTCTCTGCCATACCTAGTTCTTGTGATCTCGTTTTCCGGCGAGTATTCCCTTTCTGGTGAGTGCGCTCGTTTTTGTCCAGCAATAGAGCGTATAGGGTCCCATCCAGTCATGATCTTGTCGTATGGCGTTTCCTCTGCTTCTTCTTCAGAACTGGACTCCCCCTCATCTTCTGGCTGCAGGCTAAGCTCCTGTGAATGGCTAGGGAAGGATGATTCTGGGGGGGAGTCTGCTATATCTTTCGAGTGGTACAATTCACTTAATGAACCTTGCTCACTACTTTGGGAACTCACATTTCTGATGTCTGTTGGTGGTAATTGTTCTTCTGATGACGAGAGTGAAGTCATTTCTTGAACTATTGATTTGGGCCGATTGTTTATGTTATCGGCTGATGCGGAATCTTCGGTTGCATCTTGTGTAATAGAGTCGGATTCTAGCGTGGTGGGTGATGAACTCTCCCCCTCAAACGATGCTGGAGTTTGAAGTTCTGGAGTTAAAGGAGGATTATGTTGATAATTCATTGTTTCTGTAAATAATGAGTTATCACTGGCCCAGTAGTTCGTTGTTTTCTGCTGATTGATTGGACTTAGCTCGTCACCAAACATTATATCTTCATTGAAAGATGCATGGGGAGTGAAATTTTCTATCCATTTCCAGCCCTGTGATGTTTTCCAATGGGGATAATAAATGATGAAGTTCTTGTCAGTATTTTCCTGGAAACCCATAAACCATCCTTTTGCTGCTCTGGGCTCGAATTTACCTGGCTTCGGTTGTATTAGTTTATATGCTCGACAGCCAAACCTTGGAAGGTTCGTAAGGTCTACTTGACCAGTGTGCGGCTGATGAAGGCCTTGCATGAAATCAAGTAATGGGATCTGTTTAGTGCGTAAGCAGTATAATCTATTAACAATGTAACATGCATGTCGAACTGCCCAGGGCCAAAAAAGTGCAGGCATGCGGGCATCAATCAGCATTGACCTTGCGAGTCTTAAAACTACTTTGTTTGCTGCTTCAGATACTCCATTTTGCTCAGGTGTATCTGGAGCGGATACATCAGTACGAATACCATGCTGTTCACAGTGTGATTTAATGCGTAAAAATTCGGTGCCTCCGTCTCTAAAGATTGCGCGGACTTTCTTTCCATGATGATGGTGTTGAAATTCAATCCACTGCACAAGAGAAGAGGCAATCTGGTCTTTGGATTGGGTTAATAATGACCATCTCATCCGAGTTTTAGAATCTGTAATTATCACAACATACTCTAGTCCGTTAATTGCAGTGGTAATCTTGCCTACTGTATCTATAAATATTTCATCTAGAGGTGCGTACGGGATTGGTCTAGGTTCTCGAGATACGAATCTTTGGGCTTTGCTGAGGTGACATGTCTCGCATGTTGTGAGCTGACTTAGGTCTATATTTTCGAGTCCCTTTGTGTGTTGGGCGGTTTTCTTTAAGATTTTCTGGCCCGTGTGTCCGAGTCTTTGGTGCCATTGTTGTGCACTTATGGTCTGCGGTATTCTTACCACACCAGGAGCTGCTATATTACTTCGTGATGTATTGTTTTTTTCAAGGGGATAAATGTAGTATACATCATTCTTGCGCACCAGTCTTGCTATGGGAATACTAGACTCATTGTCACGTTTTTGCACCAATAGAGACTTTTCTGGATCCGGTACTATGTTGCTGAGCCTCTCCAACCTACCGGCTGACACAATATTGCACGAAGATTCAGGTGAAAGAAAAGTCTCATGGAGCTGGAGCGAAAATGTCCCGATTTTAAGAGTCGCTGTTCCTTGTTGACATAGCTGTCTAGTACCGACAGCCTGATCGAACTTGAATGGTTTAGGGGAGCGATTCACTTCACTAAACATGGAACGGTGTGGGACGAAGTGGTGCAATGCACCTGTGTCATAGAGTGTAACGGATTCATTCATTCGAGATGATGCAGCAATTATCACCCCTCCTGAGTCTGACTCACTATTGTCTCCTACGCTATTGACTGAGGCCTGTTTGCCATTGCCCCTGTTTACCCCAGAACGGTTATTGCTTCCCTGTGCCAATTCTGGGTGTAGACAATAACAATACTTATTCTTGTGCCGATGTTTGCACCTCTTGCAGTATGCTTCCGGGTCTATGTTGATACTGTTGGGTACGACCGCAGCCACTGTGTTGGGTGTCTGGGTCCAATTGCCTGCTACAGATCGCAAAGAAGACATCAGAGTTTGCAGTGGTGCATACTTGTTGTCGGAATCAAATGCTCTTGTATCACGCCAAACATTTAGCCATTTGATCCTCTTCATTCCCATCACAAAAATGGCTGATCCTTGTCTGTCACCTATGCAATACCCAGAGGCTAACGGCCGAGTAGAAATTGCATTGGCCGCGTTGTTGACACTCTGGTATGCTGCTAGGAAACGGTCAACATAATCATCAGCAGTACTAACAAACCTGATGCTCAACAGTGTTTCGAGTGCTGCAGCATATGGTGCGGTTGCAGTTTCATTCCTGGTCCCGGCTACAGTGTCGTAGAGTTCTCTGGCCGTCAGGTTGTCATAATGTTGGGGGCAGATGGTCGTAGATAGTCATTGAGTGATGATATTTTTTGCTTCGATTTCTCCCAAAGTCCAGCGCTCGAATTCATCCAGGTACTTTTCCGTGAGTTTATCGACATCTTCGGCGTTTGGGCTCCCTAATAAAGGATCTGTAGGGATGTTGACTGGACGGATCCCAGGCATGTCATGAAAGACATGTCCCAGGACGTTTTTGCGTCCAAGTTTAGCACGCAATGCCATTCTCCAAGCGATAAATGAGATACCGTTACCAAGAATTTCCTTTGGATCAGTCATTTTCATGATGCTTAATCTGGTTTTTCACAATGGTTAGCTAACTCCTGTAAGTACGTGGATGCGCCGGGCTAATAACCTGTTATGATAGGTCTATGATTCGGGTGTACATACAATTTGTGGGAGCTCGCTGCTAGTGATCACAGATGTGCTGCTGGGCCGGACAGGTCAAGAAGAGGAGTGGAGAATGATCTCTGTAGAATGAGGAAAGACTGAATTGCTTGCTCAATCTACTGTGGAGGAAAGCTCTCTACTTATAGTCCCTAGACTATTGCTTACTAATTATACTAACTCAACAAAGCAGGAGCAAACAGAGCAAATGCATGCAGTCGCATGACCATCATAACTGGAGCTGTGCACTGTAGCTATGTGGGTCTAGGCACAACAAACCCTTTTGATGTCATGTAAGGATGCCAAGATAATATTACATAAGTTGCACTACTGTTACAATTCCACAAGTAAACACTGAGCTGAATGGCTACTCATCAATGGCAATATATCAATGATCTTTCAGGAAACATGAGAGGCAAGGAGCACTGTACAAGGTGTGGTCTGGGTCAGGGAGCAGCCCAATGTGCTAGATAGTCTATGGCTCAATTAGTACAATAAAGACACACACACTACTGTTACAATGTGTTCATACATATTCCACTTATTATTATTAGAGTGCACATGTCTAGTTTTTCAGAAGTATATACTACAGAGCTGAATCTATCTGTCATCATGTATTAAGTGATGACAGGTGAGGGATCTTACCTAGGAAGCTATATTTGATGAAGAGGAGAGGATATACAATCCAATGCACAAGAATCCTTAGCCTGTTGATAAGATCAGCATCGATATTTTATTGAGTCAAAGACAAAGGAAATAAAAATACCAAGCGCTGTATTATCATTGGAAGGATTTCTAGACGAAATTCGTGAGATATTTCCTGGCTAGCTACTTCGAACGATCTCAGAAAAAGACTACAAAAGGAGCAGCTGCTGGTTAATCTCAAAAAAATTTGACAAGATCTAGAACAGAGAGCGTCACAATATCAAGGGCCATGTGAGACATTTCGAAAAGGGATCAAAGTCCCAGGCTCAGTAGCGACGTTCATTCATATTCAATGATACCTACTTTATTTATATGATCTCTTAAGACGTCACAGCCTAGTCGGCCTCTTCAAATGCTTGAAACGGGTAGCTACGCCTTCGGATTTAGTCCTGATCTCGGTATGAGAGCCCTAAACCTAGTACTTTTTGAGATTTTCCCTACAGCTACACAACAGAAAATGGCCATCACTTTACTGGCTTGTGTGGGGAGACTATGATGGTATAGCGACTGTTCCTGAGTGCCTACACAAATGAAGCTCTGTGGATGTATTTGTGCTGGACAGAAGTCGTGAAGGAAGCAAAGGAGTGACTGTACTTAAGGAGGCATGGGTACTTCAGACCTGAAGGCAGAAATGGCCACATGTTCTTTATACATATAGATTCAATAAGACAATAAACACAATTAAACTTGAGATACTAATACATTACTTTGTGACTCCTCACAGATCTTCAGCTCCTAACACTTGTGTTACCTAGTCGCGTTTACTAAGGGTCATTGCTTATTCAGCAGCCGTACTGAATCTCAGTTGACGGACTACGAACCATTCCCATTGAAAGCAAAGCCACAACACTAAGAATTTACCTTAGTAATAATTAATATCATACGTTTTACAATTATTCTACAATAAATCACGAATAAAATTATATTTTTTATTCAGTTTTATTTGATCTCAAGTAAAAATGTCACAGGACAATGCCTCAGCTAGAAAAATTCGACAATATTGATCAACTCTTCCAAGACAAATCCAGTCGAGGATGCGAAAGTGAACTTAGCAGTCGATAGTACCCTACTCTCAATATAAAAGACATCAACATGGATGATTCCTACAATGACGCTAATCGTGCGTTCCTTCAAGCCCTGATGGCTCGTGGCTCGTTGTCACTCATTGAGGGTAGGAAGATATTGGCCGCTATCTGTAGCGTCCGTGAACGTTGGTCAGCCCGAATATTAGGCAGACAAGAATATTAACCATAAATAGAGAGAGAGGTGACATTTGACGATATATCAGACGAATGTTTTGATAAATATATCCGTGTAGCAGCCGATGCTGTATCCCGCTTTGATTATGAGATCCGAAGTACTCAACACCAAATCACCAAACAGAAGATTTATGCGTTTGTGAATAGCATCAGCGACTCGCTCACTCAAATAGCCACGGCTAGATCGCCCGATGAAATCCTCTATATAAAGCGACTCATGGATGCCATATTTATCATGAATAATACCCGCGCGAAGGAGGTCATGGCTATCAAAGGTATGCAGGCACTAGGGACTGAGATTCGAAAGGGCTCTTTGGAAAAGGGTCTCACACATAGCGAGGCAGAAAAACTTCTAAAGATATTAGAAAATGAAGAATGGTTAGAGAGGTCTACAGATGGCTTCTATAGCCTTGCACCTCGTGCTCTGATGGAGTTGAGAAGTTGGTTGGTCGATACATATAACGAGCCTGAAGATGCATCTTCTTGGCAAAGGATCAAGTTCTGCAAAGCTTGTAAAGAAATCGTGACTGTAGGTCAGAGATGCGCAGATTTATACTGCAATGTTAGGCTACACAATATTTGCGAGACTGCGTACTGGAAATCCCGATCTAGCCGAAACTGCCCAAAATGTAAGCTGGCTTGGAATGAACAGAACTTTGTAGGTATTCGAGCAATTACTCATACGGAAAAAAATGCAAGACAAAAGGGTACAGGAAGAGGTACGAAGAGAGTGAGAGATAACGAGGATGAAATCATAGAGGAAGATCAAAGTGATTTTCGACCAAGACAGCGAAAGATAAAGCCCGAAAGTCATCAGAGTGGTCTTGGAAGTGTCAACGAAGAGGCTGCAGAGGATGAGACTTCAGCCCACGATGAGCCTGAACACGATGAAGATGAATCCGGAGATAATTTGGATACAGAAATTGACGAAGATATAAACAGATCGCCTTGAACATCGTTTGAGCCCTAATCAATATTTATATTTTAGGTGGTAAAATTGCCTACAAAAATTCACTCCAATTTCATCACTTCAAGCAAGGAATGCCGAACCCGATAAGGCCCGAAAATATAGCTATCCTTGTGAATCATTTGAAGAGGCTGACTAGGTGCAGGAGACCTGTGTATACTCAAGGGTGTCTCTCTGCCTATCATGCAAAAGTTAAGGACGTGGGGTTGTCGAGTAACTTGTGTAGTTTAGGGGCTGTCTGGTCAGTAGATACGGAATATATGGGGGGATTTTTTAAATAATTTAATGTTTATTCAGCTATCAAGCAATGTTACATGACCAGTGCTATGTATACATGTTGGACAACTCCTTCCACATTAGAGACTTATATACTGGACTTCATTTGCAAATACCACTATGAGGTATGTTTGCTTAATGGATAGTAAACCCTCCTCCGTGAGTACCCACCAAAGGGAAATTCAAAACCTTTGATTGTCCAAATATGCCATTTTCATCCATGTAAATCTGCACCGCGAGAAAAGTGGCTTTGTTTTGCCGGACTCGAACCAGCGATCTACTGTCTCGAGAGGGATATGATTCCAAGCTGTCCAAACCTAACTTTAGAGACCGACCTAGAGAATGTACCACCGGACAATTAATTCATGGATGTGTTATAGTGTCGCCTGCAGTCGGAAATAATTGTTAGAACAGACACTCAAATTGATGAGTTAAAATATGCTATAATTATGGGCAAAAGGATCCTTAACTTTGCTTACGTGAGCTTTTTTAATCCGCCGGTGGTTTAACATGTTATGATAAGGCGAAGGCTTTTTAAACCACAGTTATAGCTATTGGTACCGCAATTCCTTCCTTCTTTGTCGGCATCGATCGTGGCAACAGTTACCGAATGCGCAGTTTCAGAGGAGGTAACTCAGCTCAAATTTTACTTGCTACAGGTTGGCTATAGTTTAGCTTAGAGGGAGGGAGAAAGAGATATAATGTGATGTCTTTATTGTACTACTTAATCTATAGACTATCTAGTACCTTGAGCTCCTCTCTGACCCAGGCCGTATCGTTCACAGTGCTCCTATCCTCTTCCTTTACTTCAAAGATCATTGATAAATTGCCCGTGATGAATAGCCATTCAGCTCAGTATGTGTGTGTGTATATTGTGCTACTTGAGTCTATGACTATCTAGCACATTGGGCTCCTCTCTGACCCGGGCCACACCTTGTACAGTGCTCCTATCCTCTTTTGTTACTTGAAAAATCATTGACATATTCCCCTTGATGAATAGCCATTCAGCTCAGTATTTACCCGTGGAATTCGGCCACCTTTTCCACGGAGCCTTCTACCCAAAAAAAGTAAAATGGTAGCAATGGAAACTGCGTGCGCGGGTAAAAGTCTCCAAAAACTTGCAGCCCCAGCCAGGCGAGGCCTAGACACCGGGACCACATGAGGTGCGCATATTCATCTATGTCTCCCTTCTTTGTAACAGTCGAGTTCAACTTGATCCAATCCACCATCGCCGAATCGGGTGCTGGGTACGCTCCGGAAACTCATGGGATGGCTTTTCCTCCATGATCAAGGGTTGGTGATGAATAGGGCTCCGACCCTACCATCTGATCTGACCGTTGTTAGCTTCATGATAATGGTGATAGGGGAATGTGCTGAAAAATGAAGACGATACGGACCGCGAAAGCGATTGGGAATCCTCGTCGAAGTGAGGACTTTGTTACTCAATCTCGGCTCTAAAGACTCTACAGTGAGATCTGGAGGTTCGTAGGTGACACCACTGACAGGTGTTGAGATTAGTCCCCCAATTCAGCTCAGTGTTTACCCGTGGAATTCAGCCGTCTTTCCACAAAATTTTCTACCCAAAAAAAACACAAAAAGCCAAAAAATAAGAAAAAGTACTTAGACAGGGAACACCGCTCGCGGCCGAGAGTAGCATGCCGGACCTACCAGGTCAATAAGAGAGTGCAAGGCTAGCTCGGACGGAGCTTTTAAGGAGAACATCTTAAGCTTGAAGTGAAATACTAGTGACAGCAAAATGGTGAATAGCGGTTCCGGTTCAAAGTCAGTTATTCTTTTTGGTCACTAACAAAAAGGCTGAAGGTCAAAATGAGGGCAACAGTGTCTATGAGAGGTGGTCGTGGCACCGATACATGTGCGAATATCACGGCCATCTCTCTGCACACTTCCATGATCGACACCGAACGAAGAGGTGCCTTCTCTTTTCATCTCAACTAAACAATAGTCCAATCGAGAGGATTCAATATAATTTACGGCAAGTTTACAAATTAATGGTTGAGATGAACCTCCTCAGCATTAAGCCGGGTCATTTCAGAATGACAGGACACCGGGATTTATTCTTTGAAAACCCTTTCCCAAGTCAGGGCGGCTTACCGTATTGATGGTTCTGTTAATTAGATACCGAGTAGTATGTTAACCAAGAATAAACCAACCGATTTACTCGGTGCTAACTTACCAAACCCTTTGTTGTGGACAGAGAACAAATGCTAAGATAGTCATGCAAGCGCAGTACAAAAACTCAACGTCCGGTAGTCTGTATAGGGTGAGTTGGCCAACACGAGACTTCAGGATTGTGCTGTAAGCTGACACGATGGTATATGAAACAATCATTATATCGATAATAAACATCAAAAGAAAGTGTTTCTTCAGTTTAATGCTAGATTATTAAAAATGCTACGTTATCCTCCATCGACGGATATTTTATACATCTTCTACGTTCTCGATTCTATGCCTCAATGTCTACGTTGGCTAGCACAGACTGTAGATTTTTAAAATATTAACTGCTATGACCATGAAAACTGTTTTCAAATAATGTTGGAATTATCGCGCAATGAAATTGGCGCAATATCTGTGGAACGAAAGTTGAAGTTGACTAAAGGAGTGTCATGTTCGGATTACAACTAAAAGTAGGGAAAGTGTGCGTTACAATTACAAGTATAAGCGACACAGAGCCGAAGCGGAGGACGAAGGCTGAACACCTGTCAGTGGTGTCCTCTACGAACCTGGGAGTGAAATATTCTTCCAGAGACGAGATTCAGTAACGACAAAGGGTGAATTTGAAAGTTTTCGTCGAGTTGGCGATCGGGAGGAGTGGTGTTCGCTCATATTTGGTCGAAAATCCGACTTGCAGAGATTTCACGACTGCACAACTCAACGAAACCAACCATCTACACCCCAGACACGAACCACAGACAGCCTATAACCAGTCTGATGTTCGCATCACAAAAATCGACACCTTCAACATCTTATTTTCTATTTCTCTGGAAAATCACCCCTAGCCAAACTCATCTCGCGGCCCTCTCAACAATCATCTCACCACCTACCTAAGCAATCCCATACCTCCAAAAGCCAAATCGCCAATAAAGAAGCAAGATGATGTCCGACCCTACGCAATTGCCAGTCGCTGTGAAGGTACGGTCGAAATACCGGCCTTAGATGCGTCCTCGCCTCGGCCAAGGGCACCAACAACTCGACCTGCGACGAATCGCCACCGACGAAATACGTACAATATTTCGCCGGCACACCAACTAGAGCGTTCGACAAAGGTAGGGGCACCGGTGCCTCGGTCTTGAGCTCTCAGTAGCGTTTTCGACCTCCATGGTTAGGGATAAGGCAGCGACGGGGCAAGGCCGGAGAGGTGTACATTCTACAAAGTTTCTTGGATGATGATATCGGCTGAAGCATAGAGGGATGTTATATGAAGGAACCAAAAGGGAATACAAACTGATGAGGCCTTGGTGGGCGACTGGATGAGGCCTCCAGTGAAGAAGATGAACCCTGGATGATATGAGGAGATGCTGAGATGAGCCAAAGCTGCGAATGAATCGAAGGGAAAAGTTACAGACGGAGAAGGTGTCAAGGGCTCGGGCGCGTGGCGGCCGAGGCTGAGGAGGAATTTGCGCTTCGGCGCGCCAAAAGGGGGTTCTCTGGACGGTTGGGCTTGACATGATTCAACACATGAGTGAAGTCTGAGGTGGACCAGTCATTTAGGTGGGACGAGGTAGATGTACTTGATGGTAGTTAACCTGATCCGGCCCGGCCCCATCCGCGCTTAAGCTCCAGTAGCAGTGCAATGGAAATCACTTTACCTAGCACGTAAATGGACAAGACAAGACAAGACTATGCTACGTCCGAAATGATAGCCCGACGCCAAAAAATAATTTCAATACGGGTGAGTTTGAGGTGTTTTTTCTCTCAAGTTTGGCTCATACCAAGATCGCATCCTTTTATGTGAGTTCACTCGTAAAGAAAAAAGATAATTGGCTCGCACTGAAGGATTTGACTTAGTAAGCTCAAAATCGCTGGTGCCGTGGGCTCAGGAGGAAAATGCTTGATGTAGATAATAACTATATTTCAGCACATTGGAATCAGGTGTGATGTAAATAATGTAATCTAGCACTTGTAGAATCAGCTGTTGATTGATTAATCGGATAAATTTGTACCAATGAGCTGGCCGTCAGTTCTCCAAAAATATTTGTCTGCGATGGACAAGAATACTCGGTGATATGGTCTCGAACCCTTTTTGAACCCATTAGTTAAATCCTATATTCCTCTATATATATTCAAATGATTCATAGAATAATTCTTGATAAACTTTGTACCAAACTCCATCATTAGTGGTCTCTTGCATTATTGTTCATGTATAAGCCCGACCAGCGGGCATTTGACGATGTTTGGTCACGTTAAATCTTAGATCACCATCATTAATATCCCAAAACATCACTCTTCATTTCTTTTCTTCACCATTATTATCTTTGGGACGAGGTTGAAAACTAACCTGCAAGATCAGAAATGTTAGAATGATTGGTAGGATTTTTAATAGTTCGACTGTAAGGATTAGGTACTTACAGAATTCCCGTTGTAAAACTGTTGGTCATCCGTAGACCTGCTGTCGTCCAAAGTCCGTAAATTCCTCGATGTCTGTCGAGGCGTGGATACGCTTGATGTTGGTTTTTTACTCACTGAAGTGTGTTGAGCACTTTCAGCCCGATCATGGACACCACCGGCTCCCATAAAGGCCCCTAAAACTCCTGTGACCATGCCGAGGCCCCCGCTTACGACTCTCCATCCATTTCCGACTACCCCTTCAATCAATCCGCTAGAGGTTATTGTTGCGCTATTATTTGCATATGCTTCCGCGTACGACTTGACTGGAGCTAGAATCAATGTGGCGCTAGGGACGCAACCTAATTCACGAAGAGTTCGAGATTCCTCCGCAGCTTCTATTTTCCGGTTTGGTAATGGAGAAAGTACATGTTTAAAATCATATGGCTGATCGGCAAGACTCGGCTGGTGTTGGGAGATATATTTGCGGACCTCATTTGAAAGTGTGGCTGTACAAGAGAACTTGGTACGGAGAGTTGAACCATCGAAAAGACGGATAAGGAGCGCACATGTATCGTGATGGAGGGGTGGGTTTTCAGTGTTAATCGTGGTGAGTGATGGATCATGTACTCTAGAGTTTGTAGTACTTCGATCTCGCTCTGCTTTTCTTCGAGCCGCTTCATGTCGGCGGGTTATCTTGTCTTCTTCTACCCGCTTTAAAATACGTGCACGTTCGTCTCTGGCTTCTTTCTGACGTTTTTTCTGCATCACGGCATATGTTTGGTCGGCAGATGCTGGCTGTGATGGAGACAAGCTAGAATTAGGCCCGGCTGCTATCGTCCGGTCTTTATCTGTACGCTCGTCTAATCTGGACTGAAACGAAGTTTCTGGTGAATTTAATACTTGAGTTCCTTGAGATGTAGGCCGTGCCGGGCTCGTTACTTGGGTGGATACTGAGGTGGATATAGGCGTACTGGAGGTGATCGATAAAGGGCGTAAATTCTCCGCTTGGAGAATTGGTAGTAGACGTCGCACGAAGTCTTCTTTTTTCACTCCAGTAGTGAGATATTCCATAAGCTGACCATTTCTAATTTGATGTTAGCTTTACCGTGATCAGAAGTGTAAGATTTAAACTTCTGTGAGTAAATCACCCATTATCCTTAAGTTAAAGTATAGTTGATTCAAACTTACTTTATGACTACAAAAGTTGGTGTTTTTGGCAAAGGGACGATGGCGGCTAGGTAGTCTGCTTCTGTTGATCCAGCTTCAAGCCTTAAGAGTATCGACTGGTTGGAGAGCATTTCTTTTAGCTATTATATGTGAGTTACGGTAGAAATCAGTTTCCTGTAAGTTTATTACTCACTTCTTGGTCCTGAAGAAACTCATTCTCCCACAACTGACTCTCCTCTCCGTTGTCTGTAGACGCAAGGAATGTTAGTGCGTATTAATATATCTAGCGATGCAACAATAACCTGTCACAAAACAAGCAACCAGTTTCGATTCTCTAACGGCTTCGCTGATTGCGTCCTGTAAATCTATTCTGTAATTCATTTTATCGTCGTAGAAGCGGTTGGTGGTTGTTGATGTGCGGTAATCAACTTGCCGCTTTGATTGCCGGGGAAAAAGCAAGACGTGCTTAAGGCATGATCAAAAATTAACTTCCCAGTTTCGCTAGTGCCACCTAACGGCGAAAACAGCTTCATCGTCACCATGAGCTTAATAGGACTTTTCTATCGACATCGACAATGTAGACGTCAGCTAACTAATAACATGAAAATACTATCGTACCGATGTTCCGTATTACGTTGTCGGAGACTTGAGAGGCATATATCAGCTACAACCCGCACACTAGCTCAGCCAGGTGATGACCCAGAATTCAAGTCCATCGTTGATAGTCCAGCTATTCTTGTACAGGCAGGCAAAAAGAAGCATGGTCCAGGTCTTATTATTCTAGGTACATTCTTTTCGATAACTTCAGAAAGTCGAGATGATGAACCTTACACGGTGTAGCTCTCATCCCAATAACTGCTTTCGCACTTGGAACTTGGCAAGTACAACGACTTGCTTGGAAGAGCGATCTCATTGCAAAATTCGAGGATCGTCTCATCAGGCCTGCTCTTCCGCTACCACCTAAAATCGATCCAGATGCTATTCATGAGTTCGACTATCGCCGTGTCTTTGCACGTGGACACTTACGTCACGACCAAGAAATGTTAATAGGACCACGTATCCAAGATGGAAAGAATGGCTACTTAGTAGTAACGCCGTTAGAGAGAGAAGGAGATGGTACCACCGTGCTGGTTAATCGTGGTTGGATTGATAAAAAGTTTAAGAAACCTGCCTCAAGAGATACTTTACAAGCATGCCCGACAGATGAAGTAGTAATAGAAGGGTTGTTAAGAGAACCCTGGAAAAAAAATATGTTTACGCCCAATAATGCCCCCGAAAAGGGAGAATTTTATTTTCCTGATGTGGCACAGATGGCTAATTTAACTGGAAGTCAACCAGTTTGGATAGAAGAAACGATGAGTATGTACCATTCCTACGATAGTCTCTATTGAATCAACTGACATCCTCCAGCCCCAGATCTATTAACGAATTGGGCCCGAGAAGATAAAGGGATTCCTATTGGAAGATCGGCTGAAGTGAACTTAAGCAATAAGCACGCACAGTACATATTTACATGGTAAGCAAAGCACAGAATAATATGATTCCCTCTAATGCATTTACTACAGGTACGCCCTTTCAGCCGCCACATCAGTCATGTTTTGGATGGTGGTGAGAAAACCACCTGCGGACTTAACTCGTCGTGTTCGCTTGAGCAAAGAATGGTCGTGAATTTGTATCAACCTTCCTGAATTTCAAAAACTATTTAAATCAAGGGTTCATCCGCAATTCTTGTACAAGTTCACGTGGAAGATGTCTCTGGGCAAGGAAGAATGGAGTTATAGTAGCATTGGTTAGGCGTTGTCTGAGGTTGATTAGGTCGGTTCCGATATCTAAGAAGGATGTGATTTACCTATGCATCAGGGCTATTACGTCACTGTCATTAATTGTTTTTCTACCAGCATGGTTAGCATAGGCCCTTAAATCATCTGCAACCTGTTCGAAGAACCAATCTGTCGCTTGCATGATCGCTTCGAGTGTTTCCTTGTTGATTTTACGCTTCCCATTTCCGGATGTTCGTGCAAAATTATTCGCTAGTTGTTTTACTACACGAGCTGGTAGGGACGGATATGGAATGCCATATTTTGAAACTCTTAGATTTTTTTCCTTCGATCGCATGGTTCTTACTTTCCGAGAACTATTTTCTAGAGTGCTAAGTTCTAGTGCGCTAGAGTCGACAGAAACAGAAACAAGCTTTGTCTGGCTATCAGCTTCTTCATATCCAAAGGTTCTGTCACCCTCTTCTGGTTCGTGAATCTCAAGCTCGTTTAAGATATCACTCTGTTTTGACAGCAACTGTTCAGAAATTTCTCGCGGTGGGACCTTCAGTGCAAATGTGTCATTATCATCAGGTGTGAGCTTTAAAGGTCGTATCTCGCTCTCACGACCTAAGAATGAAAATCGTGCTTCATTCATCTTGAACATCCTGAGGGTCTCGGTCTCTTCACCAAGGATTTCATAATTTGTGGTTATGTTATTCAAGTCTGCTGCATTAAAATCTTCAAGGCGACTTATCTCTTGGGTGTAAGCTTTAGGATCGAAGAAGCTGGTCTCAATGATTGCATCATTGTCTCGAACGCTTCCAAAGCTGCCACGAGATAACCTTCTGGTAGGCTTCCCATCAAAAAACCGCCGGGCTAGTTCCACGGATTGAGCTGTTAAATTGCCATCGTCCTCTAATCCCGCGGATTTTGGGGGTAGGAGAAGGCTATCATCTTCATCACCTTCCTGCTCTATTGCCAGAGAAAATCGCGGTCGTGCGATTGTCTCATCATCATCATCATATTCACTGGCCTTCAATAGAGTTGTAGCATTGGGATTCTGCATAATAGGGCGGCTTTTAGCTGCCAGAAGTCTGCTCAGGGCTCGAAGATCATCTCTCGGTGTCTCTTTCAGTAATGATACACCACTCTTTCGCAAACCTTTGCGAGGTGTTAACCCTACTCTTCGTAATTCCAGTTCGCGCTGTGCAGCTCTTCCGTGAGGAGTTACTGCGGCGGTTTTTCTTGCAGTCCCCAGCCTTTGCGATACCCGAAGTAATTTGGCCTGATTATTATCTACAGCGCCCGGTGTGGACGGCTTGCGGATATTAGAGTCTCGAGACGAGGGAGTCTCTGGCATAAATCTGTCTCCAGTTTTTTTAAAAAAGTTTTTTTGTGGCATGACTTACTGCTATCTATAATTTTATGGATAGAATGTGAGGTTAATGCTTCCATGGAGATATTGTAGTTAGTTCAATCTTAAACCTGAGCGGAGAAATTCGATGGCCCAGACACATTGATACAAATGTCAATTATGGGTGGATGCGCTTATGGCACGTGAGCCCACGCGCGCATGGATTAGTGTTGTTTCGTAAAAAGTGTCCTGTCGCGCCTTGTTAAATGATTCTTACCGCCTATGCGGCAGAATATTTCTGGATAATATTGGCTGCAAGAATGCTCTTTAAGAAATAATTCCAATATGTCTGACGAAGAGACCCTAAAAGACCCAATAATAGAACATTCATTTTCAAGCTCAGAACCAGACACTTCTCATATTATCTCTAAAAAAAGAAAACGAAAAGGAGTAGAAAATGTCAAGAAAGCTGCTAAGAAGCACAAAAGGAAAAATTTGGATGAGGATGAAGATATTGATGTTGAAAATAATCTGAATAAGGCATTCGCAAGAATGGACAGTCAATTACTCTCAGACTATCTTGCGCAGCTTACTAGGAGATTTGAGAAAGATCTAAGTTCACTCGAACTGGAAGACAAGTACCTCAAAGGTCGCCCACATATTAAATCTCATATCAGTGATGACTAATGACAGTCCAGCCGCTTCCATAGCTGACTCTACAAATTGGGACAGACCGCGAAACTTGGAGAATTACCCTGGATTCCTAGAGAAATTCGCGGAAAATACGACTAAGCTGTGGTCTGCATCGAAAAAACAGGGTGCTCCTCACACTATAATCATTGCTAATTCGGGTTTGCGAGCGGCAGATATTGTGAGGTAAGAAAAAGACTGCAGCCACAATTTACATACTCTAATCTAATTTTAGATGTCTTAAGAGGTTCCCAATTAAGGAGGCGAAAATTGCCAAACTATTTGCAAAGCATATCAAGATCCAAGAGGCTGCTCAGTTTCTTCAAAATAATCGTACTGGCATTGCAGTTGGCACACCACAAAGGCTTGAGGATCTTATAGAAAAAGGTTTGAACCTCAATCTAATCACAGGCTTAGAGTTAATTTTTGAATCTAGGTGTTTTGAAAACTAGTGTAGTCAAGAGGATTGTTATCGATGCCTCACATATCGACCAAAAGAGACGAGGTATATTGGAGATGCGTGAAACATATGCTCCACTAATGACGCTGCTGGGTCGGAAAGAATTTCGGAATAAATATGAAGCTGAATCTGATAAAATTCATTTACTATTTTATTAGTTCTTTCATATCATTAAAAATTAATACTAGCCTTTTTGAAACTTTTAATTTTAAATAGCAGCTAGAATATATGTATAAGTTCTCTTAGCACTACATCGCTACCGGACGGCAAGTACAGATGGCAAATTGAGATCACCTAATCAAAAATCAAGACTTTGTTAAAAATAGACTGCACTTACCACCAAGTAGCTCTTCATCTTGATCATTATAAACTACCTAAATCTTACAATTAGAAAAACATCTCCCAGTTGAAAAACATCATCATTTGGTCAAAAGCGGTATAACGTTCCACGAACTTTACATCATTGTTTCGTTAATTGCTACTATCTTTATTGACCCATGTTAACCTATTCCCCGATTTTTTCACGCTGCGCCTCGGCATGGCGGATTGGGGAACCAAAACATGCAGTTTTCACGGCTGGAAAAATTTTCACGGCACCACCCAAACCACCAACGGACGTGGTGTCTTCTACGAACCTAGGTGTGAAATATTCTCCCAGAACCGAGATTCAGTCACGAAAAAGGGTGGGTTGAATTTTTATTTGATGGATTTTCGACTTGAAGGAGTTGCACTCGATATATTAGTCAAAAATTCAGTCGGCAGAGATTTCACAGCCAGAACAAAGTCGAACAAAAATTCATCACCACCAATATACGATTCATGAATGGGCTTAGGTCTGCCTGGAGGTCGTATTCAAACATCCGACATCTCTCAAACACCTTTTATATTTGTGACGAAGCATTTCTCAGTCGATCCTATACCTGCGACCCACTTCCATACTCGTCCCATCACCTACCTACACACGCCCTAAGGAGGAAAGTCATGATAGAAACGGGACGTGTACAAAGGATGAAGAAAAGGGAAGATACACCGAGGGGATTACACAAATCCCCAATGACGAAAACAACCCAACGGTACGATATGAAGGTGCAAGGCTAGAGCAACGATGGAATCTTAGACAGCATTTATATTACGGAGTCAATGAGGATTTCAAGGGCTCGGGCGCGTGGTGGCCGAAGCTGAGGAGGAAATTGCGCTTCGGCGCGCCTAAAGCGGGTTCTCTGGACGGCTGGGCTTGACATGATTCAATACATGAGTGAAGTCTGAGGTAGTCCGGTCATTTAGGTGGGACGAGGTAGATGTACTTGATGGTAGTTAACCTGATCCGGCTCAACCCCACCCGTGCTTGAGCTCCAGCAGGAGTTCAGCGGTAGTCACTATACCTAGCACGTAAATGAACAAAACAAAACAAAAAAAAAAACCAACGGACAGCGGAACAGCCACAATTATGGCTGTAGATTCTTTCGCGATATCTACAGGCGTTAACATGGACAAACTGAAATCAATAGGGTTTTATTTAAACAAGGTTCGCGATAGACTAGTTATAGCAGGCACTAATCCAACTGCGACACCGATGGCGGAGGTAGATTGGACGATTGACGTCTTCAAGTCGCACGCATTGTCACTTATATCGACAATGAAAGCGACATCAATGGAAGAAAGGATGCTGGCCTTAGAGAAGGCAGTAACGAAGAGTCTCGAGGAGCCAGTGCGCAAGATGGCTCCTCAGTCGACAAAGGCTATGGGAGGGCGACCAGCTTACGCCTCGGTCGTCGCACCTCCCGCAATTAAAGTGGTGTCAAACATCTGATAGCTTAGAACCTACTGAATAAGGTAATGAGAGTAGGGCAAGACTGAACCACTGTACGCGATGTCCTCTACGAAACTGGGAGTGAAATATTCTCCCAGAGCTAAGTTCAGTTAAATTTCGCAATATCAAAGAAGTTCGCCCACGAGGCAAAAATTAAAATTACTCCACCATGTCAATCTTTCACTCCCAAAGAGTCCGATTCTTAACTAAGCTTCATCAAGTCTACAAGTACGACATAGTACATCCTCATCCCAATGACCATACCTCTCTCCGACCTTCTCTGGCCTCAGTTGACCGCCAAATACACGCCCACGCCGATATTTATACCCGACGGAGGAAGCAAAGCGTGGAGCACAAATCTGGGAGATAGATCTTTGGGATGGACGTGAGAGAGATCAGGACAAGTTTACAAGATGATGCAAAGGATGGATACATTCTCGACGGGCGTGAAAATCCGAATTTTGGCAAGAGTTTTACAAATTTAGCTTTGTGCGCGCCAAGACTTCGCTTGCGAGAGTGCAGCTGATACTATAAAAATAAGTTAACGATGGAAGGTGCTGTGGTCCGCCTCCTGGTGGTGTTCTCTGGTATGGTTCGAGTAGCCTGGGCACCTACTCCACTCGGGAAGGAGAGAACTCAGATCACATATCGCGCGGAGAAAAGTTGAAAGATGACGGAGGCATGTCTGGATAACTCAGGGTTTTTGAGACGTTCCCCTGGGTGGGTATTCACGGATGAGGATTGACTTGGGGTGAAGAAAAAGCTACCATAACTTCGCAGTGGTACTTGCAAATGAAATCTGAGGCATGAGTGCCCCTCTTGTAACTTGAGTCATCTTTTCTGTACTTTTCTTTGATATTGTGTCATAGCTAGATAGCTGCTTACGCAATTAAAATCTGATGCAAAAAAAAAAGCACCTATCACTAGCTTCAAGCATTTTCTTGCGATACCTGACAGAGGAGTTCTGCGTTTTGAAGCAGGATTATCCTGTTGAAATTTTGGGAGTCCCTCTGGGGACAATGATACGAGGAAAGAATGCCGAAAACGGCAGAATGATATACCAAACAAGCACGGAGACAAATGTTCGGATTCCTGGAATCCAAATCAACAAGTTAAGATGTTTCTATGACGGGAAGTAGCACCAATGGAGGAACAAGAATGGCCATACTCGAGGGTCGGTGATCGTAAGCCTGCCGACAGAGGCCATTCAACGTGAGGTGATTCGAAACGGCATTGTACTCAATTCAATGCTGTACACGGCCCAGCTCTGGTCACCCCGGGCTCAAGTCAAGCAGCATTTCAGCTGCAGTCAATGGGGGCATACTCAAGCCTCGTGCAATAGGGCAAAAATATGTTGTGAGTGTGCGGGTGTGACAGCTTGTGAGCCGATAAGTCCTGTAGCCTTCGATGGCTATAGAAGGCAACCTATATGTTCTATCACTCCGAGGATTACCAGCAGACTAAAACAGATACGTAATCACCACCGAGGCTATGTAAAGGATAGTGCCAAGAGTATCGGAAGCGTTACCCGTGTGGCAGAACAAACCTTTAGTCAGTTTCATTGCCACTATAAACGTAGGCTATATTTAGATACCTCTGGATGTGTATAATTAGTATGGGAGACTTGCAGGTAGTTTGCTTCTCCATAGATGAATTATAGCTATACCTTTCAATCATACAAATGCCCAGGGCGCCCGCGGAAACATCCCGTGGTCACAGCCCAATCTACACAACAATTTGCGCCATCGGAGTCGAACTCGAGACCACAGTAATCACTTTTCGGCACGCGAGGACAGGGAAAGGATGGCGAGGTCACCTAAAACTTTAGCTAGTCCTGTCACGGACTAACGGCCAATTGCGCTTCCTGTAGGTTAAAGAAGGGCTGCAGATAATATATGAAGGAGTAGGGGGTTTTATCGAAAGGTTTCCACCTTACGTAAATAACTATAAACAGAGTTTATAGCCACCTGCATGGGCCCATAGGACGCCTAATCAGGTTAATGAAATCAAATTAAAAAACATTACCCAGTAAACATTTTGTAGCACTAAATTGTGCGCAGATATATGGCTGTGAGATATGATCAGTATTTTGTGTACATTTTACTTAGCTCTTTAAACTTCGAAGACACTCATACTCAGGATTTAACTTGCAAATAACACTTTGCGTTGATTCACCTTGATATATGCACACTTTGGGTTAATGAAATGTAAAACGAAAGGTTCAAAAATGAAGCGTATATCATCTCTATCCCCTATAAGAACATTGTAAACTTGGATATCTAGGTTTTGGCTGAGTCATCAAGACAATGAGCTAAATTTGCTTCAATTGCTCAGTGACCTTTGTTTTAATTAGCGAAGCATTATAACTTCATTAGAATATATGTTTCAATTTATAATAATATGCACATACACTATGGTACATGGTTAACCAGTGCCATCTTTCCATGCTGTAAAGGAACGAGATCGTGATCTGATAAATCGATGGATCGAAATATATGAAGTTTTTTCTGATTTCTTGAAAAAGCGATAACGCATGAACAGCTACAGTACGAAGTAAGAGGATCTAAAATAGAAATATATTTTATAGGGGTATGATTAAGCGAGTCCTGAAATCAACATTAGATATGGGCCGCAAACAGTATGTTGTTATTGTTGTTGTTTTATTCAAGTCCTAAGCCAAAGCTCCAAATCCACTATGAGTACAGGACCGATGTTCACAGCCAGAATTACATCTAAGACATACCAAGCTTGATTCCACCGCATGAACCACCACAAAACCAGCAGTAAGTTGAAAATATGCGCCCACGCGAACTCCTTTTCCCAAAACTGACAAAAGAAAAGGTTAAATTGCAAATAAGTTAGAATGGGAAGCAATACTCCTCGCCTCGATTCCCATTTTGTCAGGTTTAGTTTCCTGACAAGTTATATTCGATCTCCACTGAGAGTAGGAGATGGATGCACTGGAGAATACCCAAAACAATTGGTATCCTGCGCAAATTGATTGAAGCTCTCGAAGCACTTAGGCCCGAGTAGCTTGTGTAAGAAGGCACTGTGTGACAATGACCCTCTGATTCGACGCGTGATGTTTGCGTTGAGTCGACAATGTATGAAGTGGGTAGGGGCGGTTTCCTCCCCACAGATGCACTCTGTGATAGCGTGTGGATTGTTGAAGCGATGATGGTATGCCGCGAAATTGCCATGGCCCGTACGGGCTGCAATGAGATGTCGTAACTGTAGCCTGGAAAGCCCCAATTCTGGTGGTTTACGACGGCGCATGAGCAGATCTAGCTCACGATACCGTGACGGGCAAGTTTCATTCCACCAGCTGTCGAGCAAAGTCTATCGCTG